AGTATTCTTACCTGCCTAAGGTGTTTTTAAACATTCAGTGAGAGAAGATAGAGTCACCCCGGCACTGGGCACATGACCTGTCCACAGAAATAGGTCACTACACCTAACGGTTGTTTCATCTTAGCTGAGGACCAGGAGCTGGTACTATATAGGTCCTCCGCAGGTAGCATCTGTGGCCAGCTTGGCCATCTCCCCCGGACACCCGCACCCGGCTCAGCCCAGCCTCTGCTCTGCTCAAGGGCAGCAAACAGACAGACCGTGTGCAGGTGGGTTTGGGTTCAGGTTAGGGTTCGGGTTTGGGATCAGGGTTCGGGTTTGGGGCTAGGGTTATGGGTTAGGGGTTCGGGTTCGGGCTTGGGTTTGGGTTAGGGTTAGGATTAGGGTTTGGGTGCGGGTTAGGCCTTGGATGGTGGCTCGGGGCACGTCCATCTGTCCTCCCAGTGCTGACCTTCTTTCTCCTTGGCCCTCTGTCATCCTGGATCCTCTCCACCTCCTCCTTAAACAATTATGAATGTTCCAGGAGCAGGGTGGCATGAGTGGGGTCTCAGGAGGGCCTACCCCGATCCTGTGCCCCAGAAAACACTGAGAAAGTAGCCACAGGACATTCTGTCTTGAGGACTGGGATGAGGATCCCATCCATCTCCTTGGGCATGAACATTGTTCCAGTCCCTGCTGTCTCCACCACTGCTGTGCCAAATACTACTGAAAACACATCTGTGCAAAACCGAGCCAGAGTTTCTGGGGGTGAGTCCCTGACTGAGCCCTGCTAGGTGATAGGTGCACCTGTGGCCTGGGAGGGTGCCGCTCACTGTTGTCTCAGACAGGGGTGCCTGTCCCCCTTCTCTCCAGGGGACCTGCATTGGACCTCTGCTTCCTCACGTCCTCCCCAGGGCTGTTGGTCCCCAGACCAGACACGTGCCAGTCTGAGGGTGACCAGCACTGCCTCCCCAGGGTTTCCTTTGCCTGAGTCCTTCCCCGGGAGCTCCTGCATCTCCTGACACATACTCCCTGTGTCCCTGTCCTCCCCCTTGAACTTGCACGTGTTTCGTCTCTGTCCCTGTCTCTGTCCCTGTGGGACCCAGAGACTTGGAGCATGGATCGGAGCAGACCCATGGGAAACCTTTCTCTGGCCTAGGGTTGTGAGCGATGCTTTTGCCCTCTGCGGTGTGTCTTCCAGCGTTCTGCATTTCCCTGTCTGGGGAAATGTGTCCGTGTCCTGTCTGGGGACTGACTGTGGGGTCCCAGCAGGAACAGAGGCCTTGGCCCCAAGATTGTGACCAGAATTCCTAAAGGGGTCCCTTATCTCATCTGTAATCCATTGGGCATTTCAACATCCAATAAGGGCAATTCTATGTCCAACAGAGAAACAAACAACACGAGTGCCCTTTGAAAATAGGTGCAGACACAAAGGCACCTAGTGAGGGATTCCACTTCCAGAAACCTCCAGAACACGTGCAGGAACAGAAAGAGAAAGCAGCTCCGGGGTTGCGAGGGGCCAGGCTGGGGGAGCAATGGGCAGGGAGGGCTTGGGCTCGGGGTCTCCTTTGGGGAAGGAGCTATCCTGCAGCGAGGTTCTGGGGTGTGGTGGCACGGCGTTGGGCATGGACTTCATGCTCATGACGTGTTCAGGGGAAAACAAGAACTTTTATTTAAAATAAACAATACACAGCATAGAGGAGAGGGACGGCGACGATAACGGTGACTACACACAGGAGAGGAAGAACACAGGGGAAGGGGATGAAACATTCTGGGGGGATGTCGGGGACAGGGGAGGGAACGGACGGTGTTTTTATGGGGAGATCTCCCCGCAGGGTTGTGGGCTCTGGGGGCGGGCCTGGGAGCCCCGCAGGAGCAGGTGTAGGGGCAGGGGTTGGGATCGGGGTGGGGACAGGGTCAGCAGTCGTGGCCAGTGCAGGACCCAGAGCAGGAGCTGGGTCAGAGACAGGAACAGGAGCACAGGCCAGGGCGGGGAAAGGAGCAGGAGCAAGGGACAGGGTCTGGGTCTGGGGCGGGAACAGGGGCATAGGCAGGGGCAGGGGAAGGGGCAGTGGTCCTGGCAGGGCCAGGGGAAGGAACGGGGGCAGTCGAAGGGGAAGAAGCAGGGGCAGGGTCTGGGTCTGGGGCAGGAACAGGGGCGCAGGCAGGGGAAGGGGAGGCTGTCCTGGCAGGGGCCGGGGCAGGGGCAGGGGCAGGGGCAGGGGCAAGAACAGGGGTAGGACCTGGGTCTGGGGCAGGTGCAGGGGCAGTGGCCCTGGCAGGGAAAGGAGAAGGGACAAGGGCAGGGGCAGGGGCAGGGGCAGGGAAAGGGGAAGGGGCAGGAGCAGGAGCTGGGACAAGTGCAGTGGTGAAGACTGGTGCAGGGTCAAGGGCAGGAGCTTGGTCTGGGGCAGGAACAGGGGCACAGGCAGGGGAAGGGGAGGCCGTCCTGGCAGGGGCACGGGGAGGGGCAAGGGAAGGGGCAGGAACAGGGGTAGGACCTGGGTCTGGGGCAGGTGCAGGGGCAGGTGCCGGGGCAGTGGCTCTGGCAGGGAAAAGAGAAGGGATGGGGGCAGGGGAAGGAGCAGGAGCAGGAGCTGGGGCAAGTGCAGGGGTGATGGCCGGTGCAGGGTCAAGGGCAGGAGCTGTGTCTGGGGCAGGACAGGCAGGGGCAGGGGAAGTGGGGGTAGCTCTGGCAGGGGCAGGGGAAGGGGGAGCGGCAGGAGCAGGGGTGGGGGCAGGAGCAGGAACCGGCTCTCCGTGGACAGCATCAGCATCTCCGTGGACAGGCGCCCGGTCACCTGTCAGCTCCCGGTCTCCTGCTGAAGTGTGTCCAGTCACCAACCGTGTCCCCCTCCGGAGTTGCTGAAGTTGGGAGTGGGTCTAGCTCCTCTGCTGGAGTAGCTGTTAGAGGAGAGAAGGTCACCCGCGGGCCTGCCTCTCCCTGTGGCTTTGCAGAGACAGAGCACAGCCCAGGGCCTCCCGGAGAAGCCGCAGCCACGAAGGAACCTTCCCCGGGACGTCTCCCTGACGGCAGTCCACCCCCTGGGTGCTCCGAGCCAAGTCGTGGCTCCGGGCCCCACACCAGCCTATGGGGGCTTCTCCCTGTGGGGCCCAGCACCGACCCATCCCCACACAGCCACAGGCACCCCATCCCAGCCTTCTCACCCTTGGACTTGGCCTCTGTGGGCTCCGTGTCCAGGACCGCAGTCCAGTGGAGTACCGGGGGCAGTGGTCTGGGAGGTACCGGAGGCCTTCCCAGGACTGGGGACTCCAGGGTCAGGGAGGAGTGCGTGTCTTCCCGCCTCCTTCCTAGTTCATCCGTGGCCTGCCAAGGCAGAGACGGGGAGTGTTCAGGAGGCATTAGAACCCTGCCCGGCCATACCCACCGTCCTCCTGCCCAGTCCCCCAACTTCTCCCAGATCACACACAGACCTGCGCGTGCACAGCCCTGCACCTGGGTCAGTGGCCCGTCCCTGCAGGGTCTCAGGATAAACCCTGGGCAGAAGGGTGCGGCCCACACACCCGTCCCACTAGCCAGCCTTCACCTGGGGTGTGAACATGACCTGCCCACCAGGCATCTGACCCCTCATCAGCCTGCTCCTGCTCGGGCGTCTCCACCCCCGATGAGCTCTCTTTACACACACACACACACACACACACACACACACGCACACACACACGGGGAGGAGACCTGGGGCTACACGGGTCGATCAGAAGGTGTGGGGCTGGCTGACTCTGAGCTTCCCAGTGTCACCTTTTGATTCTTCTTGCCAAAGGGCCAGAGGCCTCTGGGAGCCCTGACGCGACCTTCCCAGTGAGGGGACGTGTTTGGCGGGCGAGCTCTCCTCTGCCCGCGTCCTCTGGACTTCAGTAGGCAGCACAAGAACATGTCGCTTCCTTCAGGATCTCCCAAGAAATGAGCTGGGCAGGGAGTTGTCTCTGGAATGTGGGTGCCTGGATGCGTGGGTTCAAATTCCGTTGGGCTCTGTTGTCCAGGGAAGTGAGGTCACCACTGCCTGGGGGCTCCTTACCCGACTTCCTCCTCACACCAGAGCTCCCTGAGGGCGCCCCTCCCCCAGCTGCTCAAGGCTCACCCTCCACCCCATGCCCTGTCTATACAGTGAGCCCCACACGGCCTCCCCACAGCCCCTGGGAGGCCTGGGTGCAGCTGTTGTCCCCGCTGTGAGGGCACAGAGCTGGGTTCAGACCGGGCTCCTGCTCCTGCCCAGGGCTATGAGCCCGGACACACCCTGTGGCTCTCAGGGCCTCCCCAGTCTCCCCGTCTGCACATTGGGGGTGTTCTGGCTTCTACTTCTAGGGATGCCATCAGGGGTAGGACCTCTCCATATGTTCCATACCCGCTCTCCCAGGAGGCTGGTGCACACACTTGGCAAGGCACGGGTGAGCCAGGGGCTGGGCGGGGGCATGGAACACAGCCCAGAGGGGCCCAGATCTGCTCTGGGATCCAGGCAAAGCCACCCTCCTCCTGCTTGTGTCCCATCCCCCGTGGCAAGGTGGCAGTGCATAGCTTCTGACCTTGGTGATGCAGACTTCCCGGGGCTCCCATTAGGTTGAGGTCCAAGGGCCTCATTTGCGCCCATGGGCTGGGCAGCCCCCACAGTGGTTCCCGGGCATTCCCGAATCCGTCCTCCCAGGGTGGATGGCCCGTGGGACTGAGAAGGGGAATGGTAGACAGCCCTGGGTGCAGGAAAGTCAGGGCAGACGGGGCGGCCTGCATGTCGAGAGGAAGGGATATCCGCCTTTTGCCTTCTATGAGGATGAGAGCCAGATGATGGTCAGTACAGGGAAGTCCTGAGCTGGATGGAGGGACCTGAGTAGCGGGGCCTGAGGTGGGAGTAGGAAACAGTCAGGAAGTGAGTCCAAGGGGTTTAGCTGTGGCTTTTCACTCTGTCATTAGCAGATGAAGGGGTTCAGCCGTTAAGGGGCAGGGCCATGTGCCACCCAGGCCCCTGGAAGGACAGGTCGGGAGGAGTGGTGGAAGAAGGACGCACAGTGCTGGCTTGGAGGAAGACTTTATTTTGCTCCCCATTTCCCAGCCCCCCAAGCTAAGGCAGTGGGGCCTCTCTGGGGCCCTCGTTGGGCAGGGGCAGGGTGTCCTGGCCTCCTGGCTAGTGGCTGTGGCCGTGGCCATGGCCACTGTGGCTATGGCAGTGGCCCTGGTCACCCTGCCCAAAGCCTGGCCCGTGGCTGTGGCCTTCTCCTTCAGGGGCGTTCTTGTGCATCTCCTCATGGGAGGCCATTGTCAGCTTGCCCACTAGGATGGAGAACTCCTCGAAGTTCAGCTGCTTGTCTCCGTTTGTGTCCAGGTCCTCCAAGATCTTGTTTATGGCATTGTCATTCTTCTTCTGCTTCTGTGGGTTGGGGGGACAGGGCGGTCAGGCTGGTGGTTTGGCCAGTGCTGGGGACGGGGGCTCAGCCAATGACCCCAGGCAAAGGCATAGGGAAACCTGCCTCCTAGGCCCAAGGTAAAAAATTAAAAATGACCATTGGCGGTTGCCCACGGTCTAGCAGGTGGGGAACATGTGACACTGGTGGATTTATTCTGCATATAACTTGGGCACCGATTCTCTCCATTTTACAGAAGAACTGAGATCAAGAGACTTGCTTGAGGTCATGTAGTTAGTACGCACAGAAATGTCTCCTCATTTGGTCTTTATAACAAGCTTAATAGGTGAACTTGGGTACCCTCCTTGAGGAAGCCGTCGCAGAAAAGGGGAACTAGTTCCTGCGGATTGACAAGGCCTGGGAGCCGGAGGGGGTCATGAGCCCAGCCTTGTTCCAATCCGTGTACCTGACTGTCCTGCTCCTTTCTCTTTTCCTGCCTCTCCCTTCTCTCTCTAGGTTACTCATTAGTGACATTCATTTCAACCTACATAGGGGGCAGCATCTAGGAGAACAAGATGCTTTGTATCCTGTGTGGGGCCAGAGAGCAGTGGATATTGTCCATTGACCCCAAAGGGTGTGACGAAGTCTGCTGAGGGGAGGATGGGAGGTGGGGGGCCAGGCTGCCGTTGGTCCCGCCCTCTGGCTGAGAAGCTCAGCCGAGTCCCTTCCCCAGACCCTGTGGGTGCCCAGCTCAGACCCCAGGCCCTTCCCCCCCCAGCAGCCCCTCCATACGGCCTTCTCTTCTGCACTTTTCCCTGTTGCCCTGTTCCCTGTTCACTCTGGAGCGGTGGCCCCGCAGGGTCTCAGCTTCCCCTCCTGGACAAGGGAGGTGGGTGCTAGGCCAGGTGTGGGAGTCACACGGAGGAGAGCCTCCCCCCACTAGCTCTTGGCTGGACCCTCTCCTGTCCGTGCTGACCAAGCGCCCTGCTTCCCCGTGTCTGCACCTGTGGGGAGCAGCCAGCCTTCCCGCTGTATCGCCTCCTGAGCTGTGTGGGGCTTCCGGGAAGGCTGCCTCCTTCCCCAGGAATGGAGCCGAGACTGGAACTCAGACACCTCACCCTTCTGAGTCCAGGCCTCTGTTTTCCCAAAGTCCCCAAACTTGTAAAGAAAACTGAAAGATTGGATGAAACCAATTCTCCTCCTTCCCCCCACCCCCCAGAGCTGCCTAGTCATTTGCAGATCAGGGGAATAAACTAATTATGTTACTGCGTGTTTTGTGCACACCACTGCCCCATGGGGGCTTTTCCACACGTGGTGTGTTTCCTACTCCGGAGCCCCTCAGCCCTCGCACTGAGACCGCCCTGGGGGTGAACATCTTCCCCGCTTCTGCCAAGGGGTGTCCTCAGTTGCTTCCCTCCTCAGTTTAGCGTTAGCCCAAAAGTCACCTCCTCGGAGGGGCCCTCCTTGCCAACCCACCGAGTCGGCTCTCCCCACCCAGCCCAAGTCACCCACAGTGCGCTTTTGCACCCTTTGGGGCACTGATGGGCATTGGCCTTATCTACGCTCTTTGTTGCCCAGCGTCTTTGCTGTGTATCCCAACCGTGGGTCCCTGTTTGCCACTACGCACTCCAACCTGGGACGGGGCCCTGCACACGGCATAGCTGCCAGTCACTCTGCTCTCTAACTTGGAGCAACTCTAGGGACAGGGCAGCCGGTGCCTCTGCAGGCTGGGCTGAAGGAGTGGCCCTGCAGAGAGCACCCTCGTGCCCCCCGCCTCAGCCCAGACTGCCCGGGCTGCCCCAGGCCTGCTAGGATCCTCTGCCTACCTTGAGGAAGTTGGGCAGCTCCTTTTTGACGAGCTGTTTCAGTTCCTTCTGGTTGAGCGTGTCTGGGTGCCCCAGCCGCACAGAGTACTGGTGGAAGATGTTGATGATAGTCTCGATGCTGCACTCCAGCTGGGACATCTGGTCCGCCATCTTCCTATATTCCCGCACCCTGTCTGAGGAGCGGATGTGTGGGCGCTCAGGTGTTCGGAAGAAAAGGCTGCTGAGCTCCCTGGACACCTCCCACAGGCTGCACGTAGGAACAGCAGGGGAGACAGAAGGAAAAGAAGCTGCGATGGGACTGAGAGAAGATACGCCCCACACATGGGAGGGGTGGGCTTAGGTGTCTGGAGAAGGCTAAAGAGCAGGGTGTTTGAGGACAAGGGGCTCAGGCAGAATAGGAGCCAAGAAATGGTGAGGGAATTTTCAAGTAGGTGGGTCAATCCAGGAGGGCTTCAGGGAGGAGGCCTTGGAGGAGGCCTGTCGTGGCGGGGAGGTGAGGAAGGAGTCGGGGTTTGGGGGGGAAGCTGAGAGCTCACTTACCCAAGTCACAGAGCCACACAGAGGAATGTGACGGCACTGTGTGTGCCCAGCATTTATAGGCGGCCCCTGGCCAGACCCTCAGCTCTCGTGCGAAGATTGCTTCACAGGTGAGCAGTGTGGCAACCCTGAGTTGGACTGTCAGTGCCAGGAAAGGGGTTGGGGCGGGACAGGAAATGTCCACAAAGTTCCTTGGGCTTTTTTGTGAAATGCCCAGCCCTGGGCCTGGAGCTGGTTTGGGAGGAAGCTGGCTGGGGAGCTCACTTCCTCTCCACCCCAACCCTCTGCCCTACCTGAGTCAGTGAGCCGCACCTCCCCGGGCGGCCCTCACTCTCCCCCTGCTCCGCATGTGTGTGGCCCAGCCAGGCCCATGGAGCCTTCCTATGTCTGCCTGGCTCCCTGATAAGCCCTCCTTGGAGGCTGAGGTGTTGGCGTGGGGTTCTGAGACTCGTGGGGTATGAGTTGGGGCTAGGAGAGTTGTTGGAAGTGCTCCAGCCCCTTGTATGGCAGAGGAGGAAACTGAGGCCAGAGCGGGGCCTGCTTGGTGACCTCGCAGGAACTGGGCCCAGACATCCTGGTTCTTGCTTAAGGGTGATTCCGATCACACCTCCCTCTTACAGTCTGAGTGAGAGAGCCTCAGGAGGACTGCGTCTCTACAGCCATGCCTTTAGGAACTTACAACCTAGAAGACAAAATATTTTTATGTAGCTTCTCATTAGGCAAGACGGGTCCCTCCCTGACTACAGACCTCCCTTGCCCGGGGCAGGAAGCTGAGCTGCTTAGCACAGCACAAAAAGCTCCCAGGAAGCACGGCCCTGCCCCGCCGGCCGTCCCCTCCCGCCCCCTCCCCTGGGGTCTCCGGGGCCCACCTGCCACACTCACCCCAGGCCTTTGTCTTCGGGGCTTTCACCCGAGTGTCCTTCACCCACGACAGGGGGCAGCCCTACCGACCCCTCGTGGCTTGGTTCAGACGCCACCTCGCCCGGAAGCCTGCCTGCTCTCCTCAACTGAAAACAACTGTTCTTCCCCCAGAATCGTTCCCCCCACTTCCGACTCTCAATGCATCCTCTCCTGGGTTGTGCACGTATGTTGCCTTTCTCTGACAACTGCCTGTAGATCCTCTAGGGAGGTTCTTCCTGTTCCCACCCTCCTGAGGACACAGCCCGGGGCTTGGTTGACGGGAGACCTCACACTTGCTGAAGGATCTCACCCAGTGTGGCAGCCTCGCGCCGCCCCCCAACCCCCCGGCCCAGGAAGCACGCACGGAGGACTTAACTATGCGTGCTGCCCTTATGCTTTTGCTCCCTCCGACCTTTCCTGCATCTGGAAAGGTGTCTTTTTTCACCTCCACCAGCGTCTCTGTCCCGTCGTCATGAATCTTCTTTGACTGCTCAGCCCCTCTTCCCTGCTCGGCCTTCTGAAAGCCCCAGGCAGCCACTGTGTGTGCTGCACCGTGGTCTCGAGCACGTCCTGCCTTGCTCTGCTGAGACGGCACATGGAATTGTGGTTAAGAGCTCAGACTGGCTGTGTGACCTTAGGCAGTTTACTTAACCTCTCTGGGCTCACTTCTTGGTCATTAAAACGGGAAAAGAACAGCCTGTTTTGAGAATTGAGGCTGTACGTGTAAAGGGGGAAGAACTCAGTAGGTAGGAGACATGCTTATTAGTTATTGTTTCATTCATTAATATCAGTATTGGTTGAACACCTACTACGTGCCACACAGTGCTAGATGCTGGGGGAACGTGATGGATGAGTCATCATACACGGAGGGGACATAATCTTATATCTCACGTTCCTAATCACATCTTGGGAGCTAGGGGCAGGGCCTGGCACAGTGCCAAACACACAGCCAGCATTTAGTACAGCCTCGCTGGATGTGTGCTGCAGTGGCCGAGCCAGTCACCCCCTGACAGAGTGAACGGAGCAGGGCGAGGTCGGCCCTCCCTTGTTTGCACCTGCGGAGGAAGCTCGGGCTGCTAGGGAATCTGCCAGGAGCCCCAGCAGGTGCCTGGGACTCAGCCGTGCGCCCCACGGTGCCCTCTGCGGGCTCTGTGAGAGCACGTGCGCTCTTGGCCGCGGACCCCAGGCAGGAGTTTTCGCAGGAGGCAGGCACTGGAGCGACCCTGGAGGCTGCAGGCTCTGGGGCAGCAGCATCACCAGAAGGGCAAGTTGGGACGATTCACGCAAGGCCTCCGGCCGGGGACACTAGGGAGTGGTGGCAAATGGGACCCTTCTTTCCTGGAAGGGCAGTGGTCCTCAGCCTCAGGCTGTGGTGGGAAAGTGGACCAGGTGTCGTCCCATCTCCTGAAGGCCCAGAAAATATCAGTTTTATGTGAAAACTCCTGCTTATAAAATTGGTCCACTAATTCTAAAGAAAAATAAAAGCATTAAGAGGAAGGCATGGTGTGCTGAAGAAAGCACAACCCCAGGGTCACAGCTTGGGCTGTGGGCCCAGCCCGAGGCTCTGACTGTCCAGCCTGCCGTGCAAGTCACTTCTGCAGCCCTGGGTCAGGCCCAGCTCCATAGGTGCTGGATGAATGTCTGTTGGATGAGTAAATGCGGGAATGCATGAATAAATGAAGAAACAAGAAGCGTAATGTCGCATACTGGTCTGTTGCCCCGTGACTCTCCGTAGAGCTTTGTCTGTGACTGCAGAAGGTTAACCCAGGATTGAAGTAAAATGGGGGGAGGCGGAGACCAGGAGCAGCAGCGGGTAGGAGTGAGCTGCTGGGCAGGCTTTGAAACAGGTGGGCAGTGGGCTCCCTTGTATCAGCAGACCATAGTGGCCCCCTGGGCCCAGGCTGGTCCCAGCTCAGGAGAGCCTAGGGCTGAGCTCGTAGAGGTCCTGACATGGGTGGGGCTATTTCTGGCTCCATTCATCGCTGCCCCGAAGCCATCTATCCCCCTCTCTGCCAACCAAGGCCAGAGATTGGGATGTGGGGTGATGGGGAGTGGGGTGTTCTCCTTGGGGAATCTCAGAGTCTCCTGCTAGGCCCTGATTTGGGGCCATTCCCCTGGTTCCAGACAGTGATTCTGGAGGCTGCTGTTGAAAGAAAAGGGTATGGTTTCCTCAGCTGTGGCTAAAACAATTAAGCGACCATGTAAGCATGTCTTCCTTCACGGTGCCCAGAACCAAGAGTGGGTCTGTGTCCCCACGGGTCTGCCCCCATCCAGCTGTTGTGTCTCAGGGAAGTTTGTCTCTTCTCCGTTGTTGGTATCAAACCAGGTATTATAGTGGGGCCAGAACAGAGGCACACAGGTAAACCTTCCCCAGGCTCTGTGCCCTTCAGCCTGCAGGGTCCTGGGTGCAAGCTCACGGCTGAGTGCTGGACTCTAGTCCTAGCTTCTCCAGACTTGTTGGATGGGCTTTGGAAAATATTTCTGTGTCTGGGACTCCCTTTTCTTATTCATTAGGGGAAGAGGTTGGTTCTGCCGGCCTTCACGTCCTTTTTTGCACTGACTCTGGGTTTCGATGCAGTCTTGGTGGGCTCTATGAATACCACTAGCCTCATGGCCCCAGGGCCCTGTCTGACCCCCTGGTTTTCTGCTGCTACCCTGCAGATAAAGGCATGTTTCCTCTACTAACAGAGCAGCTTGAGCCTGGGCCCTGCCCTTTCCAGGCTTTTCCCCTCCACAACCTTATCCCCCATTCCCTGCCCTCTTGCTGCCCTCCCCGCTGCACATCCTCCTCCCCATGTGCTCTCACTTCAGCCCCTCCCTTTTCCTTGCTTCTATACCAGCGCAGGACCCCCGATCCTCTTCCATGGAGAGCTTACCTTGGCGCCCCACTGCTTGTTCTGTGTGTAATGGGGGGACATGGGTACTGTCGACCCCTTCCTGTACCTTTGGGCTCAGTCTACACTAAGCTTTGACTGCCCCTTGTGTCCTGCACTGAGGTCCCTGAGACATGCTGCCCCTGGCCACACTGCTCCGGCATCCCCAGCGTGACCCTTCCAGCGACCTGGCTTCTTAGATCTCCATGTGCTGTGGCCCTGAGTCCAATCACTGCCCCCCAATTCCACCTCAGCTGGCTTCCCTCAGAGCCATCGTGATTTCTGGGAAACTGTACTTCCTTAATGGAAAAACCTGGTGGCCCCTTTTTCTGTTTGTGTCGTCTGTTTTTCCAATTCTTCCTCCTCTCGTATCTCTTGTAGAACCTTCATTATTTTTGAGGTTCCAGATTCTTCTACAGGTTCCTGACCAGTAGTATCTCAGCATCTCCCCGTTGGCTTCCTTTGCTTGTCAGGAACACCTGGGAGGTGTGCAGCCCTTTTCCATGTGCATTAGCATGTTGGCATCCAAGTACCGGCTTCTGGGGCTGCCCCAGTTGTGTTAGCTCCCCAAAAGAGGGTGTTGTCATGTTTGCTCATTCCTGGATGATAAGTTTGGCGTGGGAGAGACATCTGATAACCATTTGAAGAATAACGTGAGTGACTGACTTGGTTTTGGTGGAACCCATGCTTACAGGTTATTTCCTGTAATTAACAAGTTGTGCAGCAGGGAGAAAACAGAGAAGAAAACAAAGGAGATGGGGAGGAATGACCAAGGAGTGGGCCAACTCTCCCAGGCAAGAGCAAGGTGTGTGCTGCCCCCTTGTGGTAGGGTTAGCTCTGGGGTTAGGGCTTAAGGATTCTCGTTCTGGTTAGCCAGGGTCAATTTATTTGCCTTTTAATAAAAGATGTCAGTGCTTAAACAAGACATTTTCTTAGAGTATTTTACAGTGAGTAAAGGTTAGCTTTTATCCCAAATAGTTAGGGAAAAGCACCAAATGTTCCAAAGCAACATTTAAGTCAAAATATCTTTTTTTAAAAAAAAGATTTTATTTATTTATTTGACAGAGGTCACAAGCAGGCAGAGAGGCAGATAGAGAGAGAGGAGGAAGCAGGCTCCCTGCTGAGCAGAGAGCCCGGTGCGGGGCTCGATTCCAGGACCCTGAGATCATGACCTGAGCCGAAGGCAGAGGCTTAACCCACTGAGCCACTCAGGTGCCCCTAAGTCAAAATATCTTGATGTTTATGTTTTATTGTCAAAATAATTAAAAATAGAGTTGCTCTGTCACTCTTCTGCCAGATGGATTCGCTGGCCCTGTCTTTTTGGTCTTGGCTGAAAAGCATCTTCTCTGTGGGCTTCCTTAATGGGCCTCTCTGAATAGGACGGCTTTCTTGGCGCTTAGCGTGTATTCCTTCCTATCACTGATCCCATGCTCTTTGCAAGCTCCCATGTGGGACCAGAGCTATACGTTTGCACTAAGTAGATATTCCATAAATATTTATTAATAAACAAGTATGGCTTTCTTTTTAATAAAAAATATCCATGTTTTGTCAGTGAATTTTTTACCATTTCAGAATATATTTGGAGAAGGCTACTGCTTCACGACTATACATCTGTCAAGGCCGTGGCTTTCTTATATCCTGCGTCATGCTCCCCTGAGCTGGCCGGGGAGCTCATGACCCATGTGGGAAGCTCAGCCTCAGACTTTAGGGGTGAGCT